CCGCCAGGGAGAAGAGGAACTCGTCTATGCCCTGCATGCCTGGCGGACGCGAGAGGGTGGGGAAACGGATGGGGCGGGCACAAGAGGGAAGAAGCGCGCAGAAACGTGTTGACTCTTGAAGAGGTTGATATTGTCCACGGCCAAGGAGAAGAGAAACTCGTCTATGCCCTGCATGCCTGGGGGCGGCGAGAGGGAAGAGAAACGGATGGGGTGGGCACAAGAGGGAAGAGGGGGGGGCGGGGCGGGGCTTGTTGCGCTTGAAGAGGTTGATATGTCCTGCCCTGCCCGGCTACGGAGAAGAGAAACTCGTCTATGCCCTGCATGCCTGGCGGTGTGTGAAGAGAGGAGGGACCGACAGAGGGGACAACGGGGAGGGAGGGCTAACGGTGTGGTCCATGTAACTGTAAGAGACGCAGCAAACAAGGGCGAGGAGGAAATATGATTGTGCCCAGCATTGCCCAGTCGGGTGGAGACGGGAAGGAAGCGGAATGGATGGGCAGATGCGGGGCACACAATGGGGAAGAGCAACGGGGCGTGGCGTGGGGTACGAGAGGGACGGGAACGTGAGGGGAGAAGGAGAAGGAGAAGAGAGGAAAGAAGACGAGAGAGCACAAGCAATGCAATGAGGCAACTCACAGGGCTGTTTAGCGCTCGCGATGACAGCCCCAATGCCTCGCGCCACCACCTGCAGCTGCCGAACCTAAGGAGAGAGGATAACATACATCATCAATTCATCAACTCACGTGGCTGCTTAGCGCTCGCGATGACAGCCCCAATGCCTCGCGCCACCACCTGCAGCTGCAGCACATACCGCCGGTTCCCCGCTCCCAGCTTGTGCCTGAAGCGCTCCAGGTACCCCGCCAGCTGCGCCTGCACCAGATGCACCTGCCGCGCGGACAGGCTGCAGCTGTGCATGCCTGCCAGCGCGTCTGTAAGGTTGTGTGCCTCGTCCACCACTACCACACTGTTGCTCAGCACCCCATTGCTGCTATTGCTGCTATTGCTGCTGCTCCTGCTGCTACATGATGTCACGCCACCTGCTGCTCTCACTACTCCTGCTGTTGCTGCTGTTCCTGCTGTGCCTCCTCCTCCTCCGTGGCTGGCTGTTACAGCTCTCTCCCCTGCTCCCAGCAGGGCTTCTCTAGCGCCCTTGTGTAGCAGGGACTGGTATGGCAGCACAACCACGTCTGCTGCCCGTGCTGCTGCCCGAGCCGCGTAATACGGGCAGGTCTCCAGGCTGGCAGGGGTGCAGGGGCGGGGAGATTATACATAACCATTCGGTTCTGTATCAAAACAGAAGCTTGAACAAGGTGGCCGTGAAATAAACAACCAGGAGCTGATTTTAACTTCAGTGAAGCAGCAGTGGCAAGAAGCAAGAAGCAGCACATGGCATCCACCACCACCGTGCCCCCAGTTGGCCCAGGTCCTCTATGTCAGCTGGCGGTGCTGCCACGAGGTGCTGCAAGAAGACTATGGAGTCGACTCAGGTTCATGTTCGCTTCAATAGCAACAGCTCCACCCACCCACCCACCACACCCACCAACCCACCCACCCAGCACCCACCGTGATCCCAGGCGCCCCAGGTCCTCTATATCAGCCGGCGGTGCTGCCACAAGGTGCTGCAGGAACTGCTGCTGCCGCTGCGCCTTGCCCCAGTACGGACAGCCACAGGCAGACGCAGACGCGGATGCAGACGGGGATGTTCTCGTGCGGCCCTTGCTTGCTTGGTCCTGGAGCAAGGGGGTTCATACATGTGAGAGTGCGCAGAATGACTGGGTGCGTATGACGGAACTGCTGCTGCCGCTGCGCCTTGCCCCAGTACGGACAGCCACAGGTAGACGCAGACGCGGATGCGCGCGTGCGGTCCTTGCTTGCTTGGTCCTGGATCAAGGAGTCCATGCATCGGAATCAGCAACTATTGAGACGCTTCGAGAAAGAGGACCCATACACTTTTGCATGAACGTTGAGGCGTCTTAAAATTGGAGCAAGGGGGTTCAAGCATGTGAAAATGTGCAGAAGTGACTGGGTTCGTATGACGGAACTATCTTATCGGCTTGTACATGGAAACTAAAAAGTCAACAGGAAAAAGGCAGAAAGATGGATGAAAACCAGGAGTTGTTCGAAAGGAATGTGTGCATAAGTAGGAATGTGTGCATAAGTAGGAATGTGTGCATAAGTAGGAATGTGTGCATAAGTAGGAAAGTTGCAGCCAAAGCTGAGTGTAACGTGTATCGTGCATGGCACCCACCCGTTCGCCCTGCTTGCTCGTCTTGCTCTTCCTCTCCGCTGCCAGGCGCTGCAGCTCCAAGCAACGCTCGCTGATGGCACTCGCATTGCCCAACTTCAGCACCGCTGCAGGGGATCCAGGCGGGCGAGGGGGACAGGCAAGACAGGGGGACAAGGGAGGGCAGGGAGGGCAGGGAAGGCAGTGAGGGCAACGCAACAGACAATCATTGAGGAGTTCCAAGAATCGAGTTGCACAGTTCAGTTTCCACATCGATGGGCGCGGAGGAGCGGCAATGCAGTAGGTGAGCCGCGAGCGTGGTGCTGGGTGGAGTGACGCGTGCATGGTGAGAAGAAGAATAAGAAAGACGAAGAAGGAACGACCAAGTGAAGGTGGCACGTGCCATTGTTACACTAAGTGACGGTGTGCATGGAGGTGTGCATGGAGGTGTGCATGGAGGTGTGCATGGAGGTGTGCATGGAGGTGTGCATGGAGTGATCCACTGATTGAGAATGACGTCGACTCGACTCATACTTGCAATTTTTACGTGTCAGTTGGTCCGCACCGCACGTACACTGGTTGATGCAGAGGTTCTTGCGAGAGGCGAGGGACACAGTGAAAAGCTGGTCCGCAAAGGGCGTTCGACGCAGCTCTGTGATGAATTGGGACAGCTGCAGGCACGGGAGGAAGACGGGACACAAGCAAGGCGAGGGGCAACGTCAAAATATGGTCTGCAGATCGCTTCGACGTAACTCTAAAATGAACTTTGCGAGCTGCAAAACGACATTGCCCCTTATCATTCACGCAAGCCAGCATTCCCACCACATTTCCACCGCACCTGCGAGTGTGTACGGCTGCAGAAGAACACCTTGAGCGACTCCTCTGCCAGAGCCTCAGCTGCCCTCGTGCCTGCCATGCGCGCTGCAGCAGCAGCAGCACCGCCACCACTCTCCTCGTCACTGCTGCTGTCACTCGCGCCCGATGCTCCCTGCCAGGCAGTCAAAGCAACAACCGGCAGTTAAAACCACTGGCAAGGAAGCAGTTAACGGTGCAGTAGAGCAGGCTAGCAGCACGTTTCTTTTGCCTCACACGCCAGTGCATGTACGCAAGACAATACCAGGAGGCTATAAGGCCTCCCCAGGAACAACGGCTGGAAAGAGCCAATCACGTGCTGGGGCACTCCCAATGCAGCACACTTAATACTGAGAAGAAAGAACAACCCACCTTTCCACGTGCTCGCTTTTTCCGTCCATGCCCTGTCCTGCCTGCAGCAGCAGCAGCACCTCCACCATCATCGTCATCACTCTCCCATTCCGGAACCAAAAACTGCTCTTCCTCCTCCTCTTCCTCCCGCCCCCGACCCCCAATCCCCTGCTCCGGCTCCATATCGCCTTCCTTCCGCCCACTCCCTTTCCCCACCACACCTCTCCCATTCATCAAATCCCCATTGGCAATCGCCCCTCCAAAAGATCGCCGCCCCCACCTCCCCTGAGAATCCTCACCGCTCCCCTGCACCTGCACATGCTGCCACCGAATGCCGCCCGGCCCAAGCACGTCCGTGATAGCAGCCTCTCTCTCCCGCCTGCGCTGCTCCAGCCGCTGCTGCCGCTGCGCACACACCCTGGCCGCAGCCTCTCGCTCTTTCACCCCCTCGTAGTCCCTGAGCCAATCTGGTTCGCACTCTTCAGAGGCTTTACAGTCGCCACGGTCTTCGCGGTCGCCACTATTACTGCCATCTTCGCAACCTTTTCCAGCGCTGGCAGGTTGCTCTGCTTGGTTGCCCGCTGCGCTCTGGGCCTGCACCAGTGTGGGGAGGGGGGAGGGGGGAGGAGCGGGGGGGGGGGGTGGCGGGGGGGGGGCAGGGTGGAATTGGACGGGATGCGGTGGAGGAGAATTGGGCCCTGACGAGGAATCCATTCGTGCTTATTTCTTCTTGGTTGTGAGAATGAAAACACCATCAGCGATGAGCGTTGCGACGTGCGATGACGACTGAATCGCCTTGAAACAGTGCGACGTGTGCGAAGCATGCGGCTACTAATTAGCGAGTGCGGTACCTGCCGCTCATGCTCGTCCAGCAGCCACTGCAGCACGCTGCAGATGAGGCTCAGAGTCTTGCCCGTACCTGCACCACACAAAAATGCAGACTAGATCAACGCGCGAGATAACGCAACTCAACCGAACGCAAACAATTAGAAAAGTGGCAAATTTTCCTTCTCATTCAGGCGAATCGAATGCAGCTATTCAGATCCGAAACTCGTGTTACGGTAATTCACCCGAAGGCGGACTCGAAGCACAGCTGATCTCGAACCTTAGGAAACCCAAACCGATTACTTCAACCAGCAAAGCCCACGGACGAAAAAATCCGTGTGCTGCCACTTCGCCAGGAAATCATTGGTAGTAAATTCGTAGACGAACCTGTGGGGCTCTCCATGATTCCGACCTGGCCGTGCTCCACGGCGGCATACACGGCGCGCATCAGCTGGAGCTGGATTTCGTACGGCTTGTCGTACGGAAACGAAGGGAACTCCGTCCTGCTTGGGACCGTCCCCTCTGACCGGCCGACACTGTTACCCGCAGGCCTGGGGAAGACCGACATGGTAGAGACGACTAGTTCCACCTTTTCGTCGCCTAGGAAAGTATGGTGAGGGGATGTTGGGAAGCGACGTTGAACAGGAATTATGACATCGGAGCGTGGTTTCAGTGGTGGATACGGAAGAAAGATCCAGGCTCTTCGTCCTCCCGTCTCATAAGAAGCAGAACAAGGAAAGCTCTAGGTGAGCGTGGTGGTAGTGGTGTAATTCACTATTGGGTGTGTGGTGGCGGCTCACGAGGGGGAGAGGGGGAGAGGCTGGGCTGGGAATGAGGTATGTTCACTGATTGGTCTCCTGATGGCGGCAGTTCTCGATAGAATTTCAAACCGGCAAATTTGGAGGGAAGGCGGGTAACTGGTGATTGGCGCATGAAATATGGTGTACAAGTCAATTTTACTATCATATTGATCTTTTGGAATAACATCAGTATGGGATTCAAGGGGTAGTACGGTATTGAATAGTCAGGGATAAATACAACCTGGAAATAAAACATTCGTGCCTTTGTTACCTGCGGCTCCAACCTGGGTGCGTACCTCTTACTTCATCCAGATTCTGTGAATGAAATATTATTATTAAATTAAATAAATATAAAACATATTATTATATACATGTAAAATAGAATAAATGGTTGAGATATGTATTGTTCTCGTTTGAATCTTGATATTTTCACCTGTAAGACGTTCAAGTTCTCTATAATAACGCCTAACTGCGATGGAGCTTCAAGCGAGGTTCCTCAGGTCCAGTGGTTGAGCTGGTTGCCTACCCTTCCACATCCGATTGCTGCCCTAGTGTCACGTGATCGACGTGGCGGTGACGATGCCTTTTGCTTATATATGAGTCAGCAAGCCACATTTTTTATTACGTGGTTGTCGTCTTGCTGAACTGGCATCCCATTGGTAAAAGCTTGCAGGCAACTTGCGTGTTTCCGCAACAAATGGGCTACAGTAACGACGCTATGTTGTGGATAAACATTGGGTACAGAGAGTTGCGGCATGGTTGTCTGTCTGTCGTACGCAGCGCACGCTCGGGTGGATCTTTCGGGCGCGTCCAGTCCGTCCCTGTGCACTGCAAGTTTACCAAAATTTTACCATTTGTTTGCTTGGTCGCTGACGTACTTCTGTAAGCATTGCTTGGCTCTAGGAGCGCGTACGAGGCACCATGAGTCAACCTCATGTCAGAGTCCCGTACGAATGTCTGACAGGGACCATCAATTCTACACTTGCGTACCTCGTATCTGTCCATTCCACTTCGTGTCAAACTGGCAACCCGAAGATCGAAATCAAGGTACCAAGAACCGCTCCTACAGTAACAGAATTTTGAGAAGCAACCAGGGCTCCAAAATCAGAACAACACTGTGAAACACCCATACATTGAAGGGTACAGAGAGAACGTGACACTCAAGAAATATTCGTTCAGCATCCATTCACAGAACAGAACGAAGGCCTCTCCAGCAGAAATGGCGCCAATTTCCGCGCGTGCCGCAAACTTGGACCCCGCGAGATCTCCAACTCCAATCTTCTGCATTTTCATAGGGAGCAATCTTATCCTCTTACACGTGACAGAGAACCTGCTCAAGCTCACTCCACCCTCCTAAGATAATATAGCCTCCATTTCTTTCAATCTCATCTCGTTCAGTTGCTTTGATAGTCTACTTTTCCTCTAGGAACTGGTCACAACGAGGTCTATATCGCGTACAGCCGTCATGGACGAGAGAGCCGCCAGTCAGGTGCGCTTTCCGCGCGCGGCCGGGTCATGTTCGCGCGCCCGCTTCCCTTTAAGCTCTCTTTTTCAGCTATCCTCGCTATGGAGTCGCTCCGCTGTGAGCCAGTGCGCGTCTCTGAATCTTTCCACCAGTGTCGACTCCGTAAGTGTGCCCAACGTTACGTTCTCACGGATAGGTCGCGAGTCGCGACGCACATGCCATGCAGGTCATAGTAATTAAACCGTTAATATTTCCCCTTCTGCTATCGTGAGACCGCCGGTATGGCACCTGCTTTGTATCCGGAGCGCGTGTATTCACGCTTGTATCTAGCCGGGCTTCACTGCCAACAGCTAGGCGCGCCTACTCTTTCGCGGTTACCTCAGAATGGAAGCTAGTTGCGTCGTTCTTGCATCTTTGTCGAATTCTTGAATCCTCCGATTTTCTTTACCCTTTATTTATTCCTATTTTCCTTGATTTCTCGCCTAACCTCGTTCCCTCTCGATACCCCCTAATTTCCGCATCCCGCGGTACCCTGGGCAGCAGAAGCCGATAAAGGTGGCGGTGGCGGTGGACGGCAGCGAGAACAGCATCGAGGCTCTGCGAGCCGCCATCCGCATGTTCGGCCCCACGGCCAAGGAGATCCATATCGTGCACGCGCGCCGCCCCTTCGACCATGGTACCGCCGTTGCCATGCGCTCCCGCCTGCCGGATTGCCTCTCCGTCCCTATCCCTGTTCCGGCCCACGTCACCGTCCCTCGTTATAGTCATTTTTCGTTTCTTCCGCATCAACTGAAATCTTCTCTTTTTGTCAGTCTATTTCATCGAAACTCCTTTCTCTTCTTGCACCCCCACCTTTCGTCCTTCTCTACCCACCTTACCTCTCCCACTCTCTCCTCTCTCCTCCCGTCCCCCCCGCTCCCCTTTTCTCCCCATATCCCCTCTTTTCCCCCGATTTCCCCCCTCTCCCCGCGTAGATTTTGACGTGGAAAATACGCCCCTATGGCAGCAGCCTTTTCAGCGCATGGAGCGCCAATCGCGCGCCGACTCGCGCGAGCTTCTTGGCATCTGCTGCCAGATGGCCGCGCAGGAGACGCAGCGCGTGCGCCCCGCGGGTAAGAGCGCGGAGAGGGCGGGAAGCGGCGCCAGTTGCGGCAGCACAAATAGCAGTCCGGACAGCAGTCCCGGGCACAGCGCGGAAAGCAGTCCGACCAGCCATGGGGGGCGCGGGGTGGTTGTGGAAGCAGCGAGTATGGGGGTAGGCGGGTTAGAAGTGAAAGGTGTGGAGTTAAGAGGCGACCCGCGCGACGTGATTAGCAACTATTCGAAATACGTGGGCGCGGATATGCTGGTCATGGGCTCGCGAGGAAATAGTATGCTCAAAAGGTGAGCGGGCGGGTCGCGAGTGTGTGTGCGTGCGTGCGCGCATGTGTGTATGTGTGTGTTTGTGTAGGGGGAAGGAGGGTTGTGTGTGTGCTGGTTGATGGGTGGGTTGGAAGGGGGGGAGGGGGAGGGGGAGGTTTGGGGGGAGGGGAGTGGGAGGTTGTGGGGGGGGGGGGGAGGGGGAGGTTGTGGGGGGAGGGGAGGGGGAGGTTGTGGGGGGAGGGGAGGGGGAGGTTGTGGGGGGAGGGGAGGGGGAAGGGGTGGGGGGAGGGGAGGGGGAAGGGGTGGGGGGAGGGGAGAGGGAGTAGGGGGGAAGAAGGGAAGGAGGGGTGTGGTGGGAGGGATTCGATAGATAGCAGTGAGGATTCTGGGCGTTGCAAGGACATTAAGGGGTGGTGGAAGGGAGTATCGGTTCAGGGAAAGTAGAAGGGCTGGAAGGGCTTAGGTGAACGAATGGTGATTCGTGTGGGGGCATCGCATGGCATGGATGGCATGGAGGGCATGGCATGGATGGCATGGCGTGGCATGGCATGGTATGCTGGTGGTTAGGGAGTCATGCCACAGTTTGCACTGTTGGCGCAATATCAATCCCCCATGTAGTGCCACATGTGACATGGCTGTCCAATTCCATTCATTGAAGGTGTGTCGTGACTTTCTTACCAACAACCACCCCCCTCCCTTGTTGTCAATGCCCCTTATATTTCCACCTCCGCCTGTGGTGCAGGTTCCCCATGGGCAGTGTGAGCAACTACTGCATGCGCAATGCTGCTTGCCCTGTGCTCATAGTCCCAGCTCCAACCGCAGGCCCCACAGGTTTCATTAGCACCACTAGCCCCACTGCTGCTCTGCCAATCATGCACCCTGCACAGTCTGCTGCTGCTGCGGCTGCTGTGGCAGCTGCTGCCGCTGCTGCGGCTTCAGAACTGCCATGAGCAGGAAGAGTAGGACCTGTGAAACATGGGAGGTTTAGGGGAGAAGGTAAGGGTAATGGGGATGAGGGGAACGAAGATGCACTATGGAGGTGGTTTGATAGCGTTTGCTGCCTTGCTTTGCTTGGTTTGTAGTTTTGTCAAGAGGATCGGCAGCAAAGCTGGAGATCCTATATTTTTTAGTATATGCTTGGGTTAGGCTGGGTGTACTTAAAATGGTGTTGGGTAAAGTGAGGGAGGGCGGGTGAATTCGTGTGCTAAGAATGATTAAGTTGAAAGGCAAATGTGAGACAGATGAGATTGCAAAACAGGGTTAGGGTCATTCATATGGACATGGAAGTGCTCTATGTTTCAAGTTCCACCTAGTCGTGTACTCCTAGAAAGAGATGGATTGTAACGGAAATAAATGCTCATTTCTCCAGTTCCTACGGGCACCCACCAAGCCTACAAACCACCCCAGCCATACCCAAATTTCGTCGTGCACATACATCCGTGCATGTTACCGTTTTCGCCAAACCCAACCTTCTCAATTCGTCGCCACCATCTTGGTTGCATGCGATCCCTGCTTCAAATTCCGAATCCCATATTACCATCTAGCTCTGCCATTTCTCCACAGCTCCTCTCCTTTCCTCGCACTCCTAATCCTTCCTATTTCTCCATTCCTCCGTTCCCTAGCGTGTTCCGTCGTTTCCTCCCTTTTTCTTGCCTCGTAGTTTTCCTCGGGTCGCCTCCTACTCCTCATCTCCTAGGAATTTCTTCCCATGGCTGATGGGAAACCCGCCAGCGGCGGCGGCAGCGGTAGCGAGACGAACATTGCTGCGTGGCTGTATGGGGTGGAAGATGTTCGTTTGCTTCCTGCACCCACCCCCTCGGAACTGGGTACGCGACCGCACCGCTCGCATCCAAGAGAAGAGCGAAGAAAGGTGGAGATTAATCGGGAATAAACGAGAAGAGAATGAAGAAGGGAAGAACGTGCCAAGTGTAGATAAGCAGGAACACAAAGCGAAAAAAGGCGAAAGTCTTATCAAAAGCCGCTGGAACACTTGGAAGTCTTACAGAGAGTGGTAACTCGTCGCTCTGCGTCGCTGCGAGTAACTCGTCGTTCTTCGCTCTGCCTCCCTGCGCGTGCTGTGGCAGGGCCTCACGACGTGCGGGTGCGGGTGAGAGCCGTGGGAATATGCGGCAGCGACGTGCATTACTATAAGGTGCCGTGTGTGCCGTGTGTGACTGTATTGAAGCAGGCATGTGCACGCTGTTTCTGGGTGTGATTAAGTTCAGGAGCAGGCGTTGTTGCCAGCCTCATACACACGTGCGATAAGCAGACTACATAGTCCGGCCCTCCATGGTGCTAGATCATGAGAGCACATACGCATTCCTGCAAGCACGGCCACTGACCCTTCAAACCCAACTCCCCTCTCCCTGTCAACTTTCTCCCCCACCTCTCCCGCCCCACCACCAGCACATGCGCATAGCAGACTACATAGTCAACTCCCCCATGGTGCTCGGCCACGAGAGTGCAGGCACAGTGCTGCAAGTGGGTTCTGCAGTCACGCGCTGCAAGCCCGGGGACGCAGCTGCCATGGAGCCGGGGACGCAGCTGCCATGGAGCCGGGGACGCAGCTGCCATGGAGCCGGGGACGCAGCTGCCATGGAGCCGGGGCGCGGCTGCCATCCACCTGTCAGACACACCACTCTCAACTCCCTGTCTACCTTTGCCTCTCTCCTGCACCTCTCCCACCACTTTCCCGCACCATCCCCCTCCCCCCCCCCCCCTTCACCAGCACATGCGCATCGCAGACTACGTAGTGAACTCCCCCATGGTGCTAGGCCACGAGAGCGCAGGCACGGTGCTGCAAGTGGGCTCGGCAGTGACCCGCTGCAAGCCCGGGGACGCAGTGGCCATGGAGCCGGGGCGCGGGTGCCTTGCTACAGCCGCCGCGTGTGCGCACTGCGCGGGGGGCGCTGGCCGCTACAACCTGTGCCGCGACATGCAGTTCTTTGCCACGCCGCCCGTGCATGGATCGCTGGCCAATGAGGTGAAGAGAGGATCTTTCAGAGACCTTAGTACCTCATTCTGGCACTGTCGCATATATTACTGGAGAATGAGGGGAGGTGATGAGTGGATTGGGGGGTTGGGGATTAAGTTGGGGTTTTGGGTGTCCTTCTGGATTGGATTGGTTAAGAGGAGGGGACGAGTGCGTTCATGTCATGCTGCCCAACCTCACCTCTCCCTTTTCTCTCAGCACTTCTCGTCGAGCCACAGAGAGCTCACCATATCCAGTCACGGCATTATCTAGCCGAGGTCATTCCGCTAACCCCCCTCCTGCATTCATTTCTGTTTCTCTTCCCCAGTGTAGACCTTCCTCTACACCCGCTCTTCCCCTCCCCCTTCCGCCATCCCCCACCCCCCCAGGTGATCCACCCGGACTTCCTCTGCTTCCCCCTGCCGCCCTCCGTGTCTCTAGAGGAGGGCGCCATGTGTGAGCCGCTCAGTGTCGCCATACACGCCTGCCGCCGCGCCCTTGCCGCCGGCCCCGCCATCCTCCCCCTCACACACCCCTCTCACTCCTCAGTCCCGCCTTCCTCCGCCCCCACCACTACCTCCTCCTCCTCCTCCTCCACTCCCTCCTCGCCATTCTCCTCGGAGCCGTCACTTGCCGGGTTGCATGTGGCAGTGGTGGGAGCGGGTCCCATAGGCCTGCTCGTGGCCATGACTGCCCGCGCTCTGGGTGCCGCTGCTGTTGCCGTTGCGGATGTTAGCAGGGACCGGGTGGCGTTTGCGGAGGAGGTGTTGTTGGGTGGTGGAGAGGGCGAGGGAGGAGGGGAGCGGGAGAAGGGGTGTGGAATACGAGTGCTGCAGATGGAAGCGGGTGCAACGGTGAGCAGAGCCTTCTGCTTTCCTCTGCTGCTTCTCTTGCTGCTTATCCTGCTGCTCATCATGCCACCTTCTATAATAATTTGTTATGCTCCATCCCATGTCCCACCCCTCTCTTTCCCCTCCCAATGCCTCTCAGGCTGAAGCCAATGCCGCCCGGCTTCTAGAAGCATGCTCGGGCACCATCCACGTCACCATGGACTGTGTTGGCATCACCGCCACCATGCGCACGGCTCTCCATGCCACGTCAGCAGGAGGACGCGTTGTGCTCATAGGCATGGGAGAAACCGAGCCTGAGATGTCCCTACCTATAGCTTCGGCCGTGGCTCTCCGGGAGGTTGACATTGTGGGTGTGTTTCGTTACTGTCACACGTATGACACATGCGTTGCGCTGTTGCGGGACCGGCGCGTTAATGTGAAGCCGCTTATAACGCATCGGTTTGGGTTCTCGCAAGGAGAGGTGGAGGAGGCGTTTAGAGTGAGTGCGGGAGGAGGGAAGGCGATCAAGGTCATGTTCAATCTGTAGGGGGGGGCATGGCAGGTGCAGTGCTGCTGACTGGTTCTTTCTTGGTACCAGCTTGGTCTTGTCTTGTGTTCACTGAAGCTAGGGTAATTGTTCAAGGTGTAGGCAAAACACATGTACCGTACCAATGTGTACGTGGAATATAGTACTACCGTTAATACCCCATTATCACAGCACATCACACGTCACACATGAATATTATATTACAGCATAAGTTGCTACACTTACTGTTGTGCCGTTTAGAGCAAGCATACTATGCCATACTTTGCAATGTTCACATTCGAAATGCATGGATACAACTGTATTGAACTGTGTGCATCAGCAGCAACAGCAGCATATGAAGAGCAAATGGACCATTGACGACGGCAAAATGAAAAGGTGAGAATTACAACATACAAGCTCCACAGCACACAAAGATAATCACTACTACTGATCACAGTGTACTTATGCGATCAGTCTTCGTCACAAATCAGTCATGGCTGCCGACGCGACCCACCACCACCAGGGAAGCTCACAAAGATCCCATCAGCGCCCTCCGGAATGACCTCTGCAAAAGTCCTCCGGTAATCCGGAGCCGCCGGAAACGTGTAAGTCAGGTCCAACGGGGTCCGTGGCACCAACTGCGCCACATCCTGCCCGATTTGCCGCACGTCCTGCCCGACCTGCCCGACGTCCCGATGCAGCTGGTTTGCATCTCTTGCCAATTCCTCCTTGGCCTGCTCCTTCTTGCACTTCTTGTCCTTGTCCGAGCAAGGAGCCGATGCCACTCCCCCTGAGCTGGGAGCAGCAGAGGTCACGGCTTGAGCCTGCGAGTTGTTCTGCTCGACTTTGCCGCCTTTCGCCTCGGCGATTTGAGTGTTGAATTGGATCTGGTTGGTGAGTGTGCCCTGGTTGCTTGATTGCTCCGGGACTATGTCTGGCAGACCCATGGTCTTGCGGGATAGGGGCAGGCGGAAGGAGATTGTGGGGTTGGGTGTGTTGGTGGTGAGGAGAGTGGGGTTGGTTGTGCTGATGGCGGCAGGAGGGGACAGAGGTGGTGGGAGAGGGGAGCGATTCGGTTGGAAAGAAGCTGGATTGTTGTGCCGGGGCGGGAGGATTTGACCAGATTCAGTGGACGGTGCACGATGGAAGGAGGAGGATGTGGGTGATGATGTTGAGGTGTGTGCTGCTGCTGCTCCTGCTGCTGCTGCTCCTGCTGCTGCTGCTCCTGCTGCTGTTGGGTGAGCATTGTGAGACTGTGCTGATACCAGAGCATCGCCTACCCCTGTTGTCAAAGCAGGTGGAAACGGCACACACAGGCAACAAGACGAATGAGCAAGCGAGCAAACGAGCTGCCATTGCAAAGCAAGCCACGAGCCAAGCCATTTTTGAGGCGCTCAAGGTGTGTGCTCATGGTTTGATTCGAAATAGACATGTGGTTCTTAAAGAACAAGCATGGCCGTAGAAGCAAGCCTTGACCATTCCTGTAACGCCTGTGGGGCTTACACGCAAGGGTATGAGAGCATCCGCTGCGCCTCGTTTTAACCCAGTGGGTATCGAGGTGTTACAATTCCCGTCTACGTCCCCCCACCCAAATCCCCCCCAAAATTCAAGCATACCTCCATGTGCGAACAGCAAACACATGGCCAGGATCCAAGGCACTGCCACAGCAGGCACGCCTCTTCCAAACACCACCACCGCCCCACCGCCCCTGCTGCGGGTACCACACTCCACACGCACTGCAGCAGTGGCAGCACCGGTGACAGGGACATGGACAGCAGTAGCAGCGGCGGCGCCAGAAGCAGCACAGAATGAGCCCAGGGCGTCCTTCTCCCCTTCCTCTTCCCCCCATCCCCTCATCTCGGCAGCATGGCGCATGGAAACAGCTGGTTGGGCGAGAGGGCATGTCATTGCGGCGTGTAGGGAAGGACGCGTAGTTTGGAGCTCCTGAATGACGAATGTCAATGGTGGTGTATCGGGGTGTATTGTGGTGTATGGCGGTGCCTAGCGGTGAATAGCGGTGTAGGGGGTGCTCAAATACTCAACTGCTCCGATGCTCCCTCGTGCTGCTCAGACCCTGCTCTTAGTGCTGGTCGGGTACAGGCGGTTGAGCAATGGAAAGGCGGTTGAGCAATGGAAAGGCGGTTGAGCAATGGAAAGGCGGTTACAGGAGTGCAGAAAGTAGGAGCAATGTGCCGAGGAGTGGAGGGAGAGTGGAATGAGGACGAGGAGGACGAGGAGGAAGAGGAGGAAGAGGAGGAGTGGAGACTCTCAATTGATTCCTGCTCTCGATCAAGGCAGACACTCAATCAAGGCACACAGTTCCGGTCAGCAAGCAGGTTGCATGCAGCCGCACCGGCGGTGGCTGATGTGGTGACTGAGATAGAGATGCTGTGGCTACTGTTGGAGCGAGCGCTTGTGTTTACTGCTGTGTTTTGAGTCGACTCAATATACAAGTGGTAGTGGCTGTGGCTACTGTGGTGCATCTGTGGCTGAGGATACACCAGCGGGTGCAACAGTGGTTGTGTTGACTGCGTCGCTTGGCGAGTGCTTCAAGTAGGGATGGAGCAGGGCAGCGGAAAGAAGGAATTCGCGGACGGAAACCAGCGCGCGGAGAACAGTGCGCGCGATAAACAGGAATCTCCATGAAGGATCAAGGCGGAGAGGACCTTGAATGTGTCGGCGATGACACAGTGACCGGTGAGTGACCGGCGCGGGGTTGGTAATGGCGGTGACCGGCAAGTGACCGGCAAGTGACTGGTAAGTGACCGCGAGATGGACGGACGGATGATAAGCAGCGCGAGTTGGCGAATGGGAGGACGACATGCGTTTGCGAAAAGCGGTTCTTTTCGCACGCGACGTGTGGCCGGCGTGGCGAATGTCTCGTGGATCCTGGGCGTCTGAGTATATCGAGGCCGCGGGGCTGACTGGGGAGTAAATCTCGGCTGCACGCCACCGGGACATGGCGTACGGGAAAGCCGACGACGAAGAAAGGCGAAGAAGCATCGTGGGGTAATAGCGAGAGGTGACAGAACACAGGTCATTGCAGTCAGTGAAGTCAGATTCGCGAGAAACGAGGCGATAAGAGGAAAAAGGCCTGTGGGATGGGAACATTGTCTGGGTTGGGGGAATGCTGAGTTCAGCCGATTTGGTACTGGTCGCTCCTCCGTTTTTACTTGTTGTGATGACTGGTTTTCTACAGTGTCCCGTCAATTATACAAAAAGGTACCTCAGAAAACTATAGGTGCAAATATTGCAATTGCCATTACACAAGCACATAATTTTTGCTGGAAAAGGTCTGATGAATCCAGCCTGGGCGAAAAAAAAAAAGGTATTCAAATCAGACAAATCAGACTAAAGAGGCTGATACGGTATCCAAGGTCCTGCTTCAAACTCACTTCTAGACTTCGAGCACTCAAATCAAAGCTACCTAAATCTTCCAATCGACCCTATCACAGTGTCAAACCTCACTCGAGCCTCCTCCACACATAGTGTCCACCCTCCGAATCTCCTGGGAGAAGGTGGAACCCCTCAGGTCCGCCAAGTCTCTGTCAATATTCGCCAGCACCGGATCCAACTCCTGCCCAAAGCACTCTTGCCTCAGCGCCAGGATATCGGAGAGAGTGCGGGCCATGGTGGGGCGAGTGGTCACAGACATGGTGGTGCAGGAGAGGGCAAGGCGGGCGAGCCTGAGAATGACAGGGCTCGGGGCGTCGAGACGAGGGTCTTTGATTTTGTCCGCATCCGCTGCATTCACTAGGGGTTCCACCTGGGAGGGTGGGGTGGGGGAGGAACAGATGGAGAGATGGAAGTGTTACAGGCGCACATGAGGTGTAAGGGGCATGAGAGGACGACACTAGGAAATGCGCCCCTGGAGAGAAGAATTCATAGGAAGAAAAGCCAGAAGGGGAAGAAAAGCCAGAAGGGGAAGAAAAGCCAGAAGGGGAAGAAAAGCCAGAAGGGGAAGAAAAGCCAGAAGGGGAAGAAAAGCCAGAAGGGGAAGAAAAGCCAGAAGGGGAAGAAAAGCCAGAAGGGGAAGAAAAGCCAGAAGGGGAAGAAAAGCCAGAAGGGGAAGAAAAGCCAGAAGGGGCACCCGATTCTACTCATCCCCGCTAGGGGTTGCACCTGGGAGCGTGCAGATATGCACAAGTAATAGACTAAATTACCCTGTGTGCCCTTCTCAAGTAGTGAAGTCACCCATTTCGTGAGCTTTGATCTGGCTGTGCACTTGCTCCTCTCCCAATCAACCCCTGAACTTGCTTCATCAATCGCTCTATCCTTCTCGTCTTTTCCAACCAGCAGCTCACCCAATCAGTGAGGTTGATGGAGGTGCTCTCTTGAGTGTTGAGAGTCCTCTGGGGTTCCACATAGACCAAGGCCTTGCGCCCAGTGATCACTGTCAGCATCACCACTCCAAAGCTGGAGGGAAATGGGGAGGGGGGAGGAGGGGGGAGGATAAGAGTGTTCACAGTCCTCTGGGGTTCCATGTAGACCAAGGCCTTGCGCCCAGTGATGACAGTCAGCATCACCACTCCAAAGCTGGGGGCCACATGGGGACGGGGGAGGAGCGGGAGGAAGAGGGGACACGGGCACAATGGCATGGGATGGACCGTCACATGTGACTGTCTTTTGAGCAGTCCAGAGCCTTGCGGGCAGTGATGACTGTCAGCACCTCCACCCCAAAGCTGCAGGGAATAGGGGCACAGGCAAGTGTGCAATGGTGGTGATGTGGAGAGGAATGGGTGAGCAATGAGGGTGAGCAATGGTGGTGTGCTTTCAAGCAAGGTCCGCACCAAAGAGACAATACCTTTCATACTAAGAAGCCTGCCCGGTACTGGTTTGAACCTGTCGTTATCCAGCTCCCATTCTTCCGTATTCTCTCCCATTCTACCGCTCTGTACCGGCCTGAACCTGTGTTGTGACCCTCACCTGTGCCCTCACTCGTGACTTCTCTTCTCTCACCTGTACACGTCTGCTGCAGGAGTGGCCCTCTGTGTCCATGAGTATGTGGGGTCCACTCCACATAGCCTACTGTTCCCCAACACCAGTGGGCTCGCCTGTAGCAGTCATCTGTGCTGTAAGCATAAGCATTCCACTCACAGCTGCGCCTCACCTGTACATGTCCGCAGCAGGAGTGGCTCTCTGTGTCCATGAGTATGCAGGGTCCACATAGCCTGGAGTGCCCATCACTCCTGCACTCACCTGTGCTATCTACACGGCACTAAACCCTTCCATCTCCACTCACCTGTACACGTCTGCAGCAGGAGTGGCTCTCTGTGTCCATGAGTATGCGGGGTCCACATAACCTGGTGTTCCCATCACCCGCGTTGCACCAACAGTGGTGCCTTTGTTTATCCGCACCAGACCGAAGTCAGATACCTTGGCCTGGAGTGAGGTGGAGAGAGAGAGAGAGAGGAGAGTGAGGAGAGAACGAAAAGCCAACAGTGGTGCCTTTTATCCGCACCAGACCAAAGTCAGATACCTTGGCCTGGAGTGAGGCGAAGAGAGAGAAGCAGAGATAGAGGTGGAGAGAGAGAGAGGAAGAGAGTGAGGCAGAGAGATTAGGCGGAGAGGAGACGAGACAGAGGACCGACATTGAAACGCATGGGATGAAGAGTAGGAGGGGGACGATGAGGGGTCGCAGTGGCTTTGGGATGGGGTGAGGAGCTGTCAAATGGAAACCACAAGCATTGCGTGCCCAAACGCACGCACGCATAGATGCTCATACACGCACACAGATGCCATTGAAACCCCACAGGGATGGATGCATGCACACATCTGTGAGCGTGCACCCCTCACGTTCGCTTTCACCTGCATATGCTTGTCAAGCAGGACGTTGGCAGGCCTGGTAGGTTAGGTATCACAATGCACGATGTTGAAGCTGTGGAGGTACTCTCTCTCCCGTGGGGAAGGGAGGTGCTTACAGGGAAAACCACACACTCAGAAGAGGCTCAAGATCTCACCTGCATGGATTTGTCGAGCAGGACGTTGGCGGGCTTGATGTCCCGATGAACGATGTTGAAGCTGTGCAGGTACTGCAGGCCCTGAGCCACACCTATGAGCACGTCCAAGCGTTGCTGCAGGTTCAGAGGGACCACCACTCCTGGTGGTGGTGGTTGTGGTGGGAGGAAGGAACCGAAAAGAAAAAAAAAGATTATAGAGTGAGAAGCGTGGGAATGGGTGATGAAGCTGTGAAGGTATTGCATTGCAAGCCTTGAGTTTCACATATGAGCACGTGAAACCGCTGCTGCAGGGTCAGGGGCACAGCCACACGTGGTGGAGTGTAGGCACCTTATTTTCAGGTGCCTTGAAAACCACCATCTGCGCACCCACCTGGTCCGATCCACCTCTCGAGGTCCCCATTGTGCATGAACTCATAGATGAGAATCTGCTCGATTGCCCCCAGCCCCCACAACCATGTGTATGCAGCAGATTCCATCCCGGTACCCACCTAGTCCTCTGTCTCGTTTCCTCTCCGCCTAATCTCGAGGTCACCATTGTGCATGAATGAACTCATAGATGGTATTGTTCCGTGCTCTCATCTAGCTCCTAGCCATGGAAAAATCTCTCTCCAAAGACCAATCAGCCAGAGGCAACCCACCTGGTCCGATCCACCGCTCGAGGTCGCCGTTGTGCATGAACTCATAGATGAGAATCTGCTCGATTGCTCCTGTTGCCGCGTCCATGTGGATGCAGTAGCCCAGCAGGCGCACCAGGTGTGGGTGGTTCTTGCATGCCATCTCCTCGATCTGACGTCGAGATTGGGGGGGGCAGGGGCAGGGGCAGGGGGAGGGGGAGGGGGGCAGGGGGAGGGGGAGGGGGAGGGGGAGGGGAAGGGGATGAGGGGGAGGGGGGGTCATGCAGTAGCCCAGCAGGCGCACCAGGTGTGGGTGGTTCTTGCACGCCATCTCCTCGATCTGCCACGAACACGTTGTTATTGGGTGCGGGGGAAGGAGGGTGAAGGAGGAGGGGGGGGGCGGAGGGGGGGGTCATGCAATAGCCCAGCAGGCCAGGCGCACGTGGTTGCCGTGGCTCTTGCACGCCATCTCATTGATCCGAGGTCCAGATTGGTGGGGGAAGGGGGAGGGGGAGGGGGGCAGGGGGAGGGGGAGGGGAAGAGGGGAAGGGGGGCAGGGGGAGGGGGAGGGGGGCAGGGGGAGGGGAGGGGAAGAGGGGAAGGGGAAGGGGGGGTCATGCAATAGCCCAGCAGGCCAGGCGCACGTGGTTGCCGTGGTTCTTGCACGCCATCTCATTGATCCGACACGGAACGGAGATATTTGAAGGGAGGTGGGGGGAGGAAAGGGGAAGGGTTCTTAAAGACACCCGGTCGTCGTGGCGCGCTTCACCACCCACAGCACAGACGAGTCATGGGGGGACAGACACGGCTGCACCACACTCAAAAGAACTGCACTGCACTGCACTGCACCACACTGCACAGCACTGCACTACTACCGCACCCCCCTCTCTCCATACTCACCTCTCGGCGAAAGTCATCAGTTGTGAATACAGTGGCGCGCTTCACGGCCCACAGCATGGACGAGTCATGGGGGGACACGCCCTTGTACACATCTCCATACCCGCCGCTGCCGATCCTATTCGCCTCAGCCCAGTTGTTGGTCGCCCATAGCACGTCCGTCAAGGGGTAGAACTTGCACTGCATCGACCCGGGTCTCCCCACTGCTGCTGCTGCTGCTGCTGCTTCTGGGGGAATGGTGGATGAATGGCAGGAACAGGTGTAGGGACGGCAAATGCAAAGTGGGAACAGATGAGGAGGGTTGCCGTGGCAAGCTGGCACATTGCCGAGGCAAGCTGGCATGCAGTTCCGCACTTGTCTGTGTCGTGTGAGCTGGGTGCTGAGGCAAGCTAACATGTGGGACCGTTTCAGAGAGGCCGCGTCTTCAAAGACGGGTTTCTAAGAGAATTCAAAAACCAGCTTGTCTCATGTAATGCTGTTAAGAGCTCCCACCAGCATATATCCCAACACTGTTTCGGCAGTTCCCAACTCCAAAGCAGCACAGTTGTAACATTAGGTTTTCTTGTATCCATCCACGAGCTGTTTATAACCACGTGAGCCCCGTATCTATCCGTTTATCCCCTTGTGAATCCGTAGCCCCATCTCAATCAGGAGATCTTATCTTGATTCCACAGGCCCCTTATCCGTAATTCCCCAGAAAACCGTAAAACCCCTCACACGCCTTGGCTTACCTTCGTCGTTTGTTGCTGGCTTCTTCTGGAATCTCTTATACAAAAACACGATTAGAAGTACCACTCCTAGCAGCAGCACGACTGCTCCCACCACCGCCCCCACCACCACCCCCGTGGACGCCCCTTCCTTGTTCCCTCCCCCTCCAACTGGTGGGAAAAGAGAGAGGGAGAGGTAAGATGGGGGAGAGGTGGAGGAGGGGAAGAAAATAAGAGGTGGAGGAGGGGAAGCAGATAAGAGGTGGGGATAAGGCGGAGGTGGGGCGAGGCGGAGTGGTTTGAACGCGGATGTGGGGGGAAGGAGGAGGTGAGGGGAGGCTAAATCATCCAAATCATAGGGATAATCCAAAACATCCGAAATATCTGAATCTTCCAAATAATGTGAATCTTTTAATAATGTGAACCTTCCTAATAATGTGAATCTTCCTAAAGATTTGAATATTTCTAATAGTATGAATCTTCCTAATAATATGAATCGTATGATCTGAACAATGCTTCGTATCTGGAACATCTCTATCATCGAAATCTCTCTCACCTGTGCAAGGCCCGCTCTGGCATCCCGCACCGCAGAAGGAGGAGTTGCTTCCACACCAGCCCGACGCACTGCGCACAAAAGAGGGTGAGGGAGAGGCAGTGGAAGAGTTTTAATAAAAAAGCGCGTTGTTTCCACACCAGCATCACTCGCGAGAATCAAGGCAGGAAGACCAGGGTTAAGTACAGAGCGGGAGATGGAGAGGTGAAAGAAAAGGGGACGGGATGAGAGGGGCGAAGAGACATGGCAGTTGAGGTGTGTGAGTTGAGGGTGAGAAGTAGGGGGCCAGCCAGAAAGTAACGTTGAAAACACTAGCTTGAGAGAGAGGTAGATGGATGGCTTCGATAAAAACGAGATGTGTGTTGTGAAGGTGGAACTTTGAGAGGAGTCGGAGCTGGTGAACGAAAAGGAACGTGTGTGTTGTGAGAGGGACCAAAAGGTTGTGTTCTGAAAGCATGAGAGGACAGGAAGGAGCAGGGAGAGGATGACAGGAAGGAGCAGACGACAGGAGGGAGCAGACGACAGGAGGGAGCAGACGACAGGAGGGAGCAGACGACAGGACGGAGCAGGGAGAGGAGTGACGTCGAGCTGACCAGCAGCATAATAGGCTCGGTTTGTGAGGCGCCAAAGTAACCTGCAGCATAGGCTCGAGTTGCGAGATGTCTTATACAAACCTGCAGCAAAGGGTCGGTGGGTTGCACGGCGAGGAGCTGGAGCATTGCTGAGCTGGCATTTCTGTCGTGTCGTCCAACAGAAGATGATGGGGAGGGGACGGACAATAAGGTGGCATTGTGCGTGCATGCATGGATGCATGCATGGTGTGCGTTATGTATGTGCAGATTAGTGTTGGCATGCGTGTATGCGTGGAGCATAAGTGGGAATGGATATGAGAGTGCATGTGAAGTAACGGGGTGGACCAATGTTAAAAAATGCAACCATGCACACGAAAGATGCAGAGAGAGCGGCGAGCATGTGGGTGCAAGGTGCAAACTAACTAGGGCATGTAGAGTTACACTGCTAGCGCATTGTTGCAGTTATCCTCAATATTGTACTGAACAAACAATAATCTCAAGAACAGAATCTTCCAACTCACCTGAAATATCTGTATAATTTGAATTCACTGGATTACTTGAATCGTCACTAAGAAGAAAACGAGTTGATTAGCCATCCAGTTTATCCTATGATTCAGTTCATGCAAAAGGGTCGTCCTCAGTCATTCTCACCCTGGCACGGCCCGTTAGTGCACAAAGCACCGCAGTATGCGTCAGTGCTTCCACAATAGCCCCACTGGCTGCGGGTAAACGAGGGTGAGGGAAGAGGCCGGGGAACGAGGGTCATGGACAAGGCGGGTGAAAAGGGAAGGAGTGGTGGAAGGGAAGACGGGGAAGGATGGGAAGGGCGAAGAGATATCGAGGCGGTTCTGGGCGATGGTACGGAGGCGACTAGTGGTGAAAACTAGCTTAAGAGATGGACGGATGGGCTTGGATGGCATGATTGCGTGTTCTGAAAGCAGGCGTCTTAGAGTTAGCATCAGATGACAAGGAAAATTGTTCTGAAAGCTGAGTGTTTGGACTCCCTAGCAGATGTCTCACAACTGGTTTATGACAAGGAAAATGGTTTCTACAAGCAGAATTGTAAGACGTCTCAAAAGACCGGTTCCTGAAGCACCGAATAGACCGAAAGCGGCCAAGCAAGAGAGGATACTATCCTAGTAGGAAGAAGCAGGGCGTGTACTGGAAGCGCGAAGCTTGCTGAGCGAACTCGGAGGCGACTCAAAATCGCGTCGACTTACCTGCAGCAGGGCTCGGCGGTTTACAAGGCGAGGAGCATGAGAGTTGAGAAGTAATTGTGTAGGATAGGCTCGAATTTGAAGCGATATGACAGGAAAGAGCAAGGAGCAGCCGCAGCATCCAGCTGACCTGCAGAAAAAAAAAGGCCCGAATCTGAGGCGTCTAAAACTGACCTGCAGCATAGGGTCGGCGGGTTACACGGGTAGACGCTTGAGCATGTCTGTTGCGCACGCGCTGCTGGCACCAGATTTAATGCGATAGCTATGGAGATTAGTAAGATGGCGGAGCCGCGAAGCGCGCTCGCCGCATGGAAGTGCCGTGAAGGAGCCATGGAAGCTGACAAGGACACTGAGACCGCTGAGAAGAATGCTTTGCCTTATGCCTGTGCTGGCTGAAGAACGATGAGTGATATTCTGCGGTGCCTTGTGTTTGTGCTGGCTGGAAACTACTGACAATTATTCTAGTCGGGGAACGACGATGTGGAGCTCCCAAAGCTGGCTGAAAAACTACAAATACAATTATTGTGGTCGTGGACATGTCGTCGAAGAACGATCTGACCATCGCGACACTCGTCAAAACCACAAACGTGGCTATCCTCCTTCGAGAAACCTTCCACGTCCTGATACAGAATTAGCGACGTAGGAACTGTTTGGAGATACTCCCCCCAAGGCCCAAGAAGCTGAAAGTTCGCGGGGCGAAGGCAATGCCGCTACAGCAGGAGGCCATTGCCCTTGCCAAGCACGGCATGCACTTCCTTCGACCAGCTGTGGTCGGACCCAGAGACTGTTTGTCCTTCAGCTTGTAGATCCAGGTCCGGAAAATTGCGATAGCAACCTGCTACTGGTAATGCCAACAGATGATTCTTGCCCTGTTGATTTGAATAGCTTCTACATACACTTCGGATGAATAAACATCCTCTAAAAATAATGTCAGCGATTAATTTCCATTTAGTTATTGAATTTGTTACGACTTACGAGTCCTGTAAGGAATTTCGCTAATTCCTTACTGAGGCATCTCTTACGCGTACAATTCCAACTTTCGGAATTCAGGCTCGGTCCGACGACCTCGCCTTCCGAACGTCTCCCGCGTCGCCCTCGGGTTTCCCAACCCCAAACCTGCACCCAACCTTCGCGCGACTCCGCGACCTCGGCCTAGCTAGCTGTGCTATATTATACCTAGGCCTCGTTGTTTGCTCAGTAGTTGTAATCACTTCCGCGATATTGCATTCTGCGCACTCTTCTTTCATACAACTCATAACACTTGGTATCAGAGCTACTTTCCTAGGTTACCCTCCACTTTCCGGGGTAGTTTTAGTGCAGGGGTGCGATAGGTTTGGTGGGCTGCAAAGCGGTCGGCTGAGAGATAGATACGATTATCTCGCTCCGACTAATAGCGTTTGGGCCTTCATCAAAACCATAAAAATCGCTGTTAACCCGCTGCCCGCTAGGATGAGTCTCCGAAACATGACACAAGCAGAGTTTGACGTGTTTTTGCAGGACTTTCGGGCGATGCAATCCAACATGCAGACTATGTCTGGCGAGTTGGAGCGCCTGAGGGTGGAAAACGCCGAGCTACGCCAGACGCGAGGTGAAGCGCGTCAGGAGTCGGCCGCCGTGGATGAAGCAAGTAGCAGCTTCGCGCCTAACGACGAGGTCCTTAGCGAGCTACAGGACTCGCTGGACGCTGAAGATGAGTGGACGGCACGGATGCAACAAGCACAAGGGACGCAGGGGCAACAGTCACAGCCGCAGCAACAGACACGAGCGGCGCCGAGGCAACAGTCGCAGACTACACCACGTCAGGCAACAGCGACAACCCCGGTGATGGCTTCAGTGGCGCCCCCGATGCATGCAGCAGCAACAGTCTCAACAACTGTTAAAATAAAACCGACGAACCCACCCCCGTTCAACCCCAGCGACAAAACCGTCACTGTGTCGGCATGGTTGTTCGGAGTGGAGGTGTTTTTCAATGCTGCGCAAATTGCTGACGATGCTACCCACATTAATTTTGCAGTGTCACTGTTACGAGGGCCGGCGTTGGAGTGGTGGAAGCGGACTCTTCAGACAGGGGGGACTCCGGCAGGGATGTCACGTGCGAACGACGGGACCTGGACAACTGTCACGCAACAGGCAACTTCAATCTTCGGAGTGGCCACGATACGCACATGGACGGAGTGGGGCGCCGCGCTGCGAACCAGATTCGAGCATGTATCCGCCTCGGATTCTGCTCGCATGAAGCTGCGCACCTGGAAGCAGGTGGCGTCGGTCCAAGAT